CCAAGTTCACAGTGAGGGAGACATACAGGAGAAAGTCTTCACTTTGCTCTGTCATTGTGTAGTGCCAGATATGGGAAATATCAATGATTGCTCATGGCTTGAAATATAGAAGAAATTATACTAATTTTAAATGAGCATGAGTGCCATGCATTACACAGCTAAAAAATAAAATCCCAATATTACAGAAGATGTTAAAATGAAAAGAACATCTTCTTGCCACCCCTTCCCACACTCACAGAGACCATTAACTCCTTTCACTGTTTCTTCTGGCAGTTACTAATGTTTCTGGAAAAAATAGACTTTGCTGCTATTTCTTTTCTTGGTGATGATCTATCTCTATGATCCTCTGCTTTCCTGCTCTGTGTTTAAAGATGGTAATAAGTTTACTCAGAAGAAATTGGCTGGTTCCTTTGTTCGGGGTCGGGGGAGTACGTTTGAAAACATGACCCACATGGTTCCCAGTTATCCCTGTTGTGTAATCGGTACACAGTGTGTCTATTTTAAATTAGGACTTGGGTTCACCTGAGGATGCTAGAACCCTCCCTCCGCCCCTGCACAGCTTCCCAGGGAGGTTTTTTTTTAGTTCCTCTGCAGGATCTCTTTGTGCCTTTAAGTAATGCCTCTTCATTTTCCCTGCTTCTTCCATCAACTTTTCCTGCTCCGTTCCAGGAGCTTGTCGGTGCCCCGCCATTCCCTCCTCCTAGTCCCCAGGCCTATTTGGGGTGAGATTTTTGACCTGCAAAACTTAGGGATGGGAGAAGATGGGCATTTCTGGAATGGGAAAAATATGAATGAAAACTGGAAGGAGGAGAAGGACAGAGTTAGCTGAGCTGACAGGGATGTAGTCTGGCTGAGAGATGAGGCTGGGCCTGCAAGCTGGCAGTCAAGCAAGGCCTGGACTGTCCAGGTAAGAAGTTTGTGCTTTGCTTTGCCAGGTGGAGGCAGTGGGGAGCCACAAGGTCACAGCTGGAAGATGTAGAGGTGGAGGAGGGGCTGTCGAGAAAGGGAAAGCAGATGGGAGGAGGACAAGGCAGACCTAGGGAGGGGGCAGAGTGGGGAGGCAGGAGGCAGTTGCAGTCTGAGGCATGGTGACACATCCTTGGCCTGGGCGGTGGCAGCAGCAATGGGGAGGCATCATTGTGATGCTTCAGGTGTTCTCATCTTGGCAAAGTGCATTCTCCCATGAAATGCCAAGTCCTGGTAGACGGACCTCACCTGATCCCAGGATGTGAGCGTGTGCCTAGCTCAGTAGCAGAGCCATTTGACAGAGGAGTGCCGGAAGGTGGATGGGAATCTCCTAGTTTCTCAGGAGCCAGCCTTTGTTGTTATTAGAATTATTCACTTAATTTTTTTATTTTTAGTAGTTGAGGAGGGGTGTGTGCGTATGATGCAGGGAGAAGTCAGAGAGCTGAAAGCTGAATATGACATGTAATGCTTTAAGCCCATACCTGTGCAGTGTAGGAGGCTGCAAGTGCTGGTGTTTCAGAAGCACGTGTGGGCAGAGGTTTGGCTCTCAGCACCCCAGTACCTTGGGTCAATTACCAGACCTCACCTCTCAACACCTGCCCTCACCTGTGGATCTCACAGGATTGTTACAGAACAATGAAAGCTAACATCTCTAGCGGGCTTGCTGAGGGCTGAGCAGGCACTGTACGTGGACTTCCAGTAGACTAGTCCACTTGCTTCTCTCACTGACTCTTGTGGAGGAAGCACTTCCCCACATTTTACAGATGAAGGAGCTGAAGCTCAGAGAGGCGGAGTTAATTATCCAGAGTCACACAGCTTAGAGCTCCATAGCTAAGCTTTTCACCCGCTAACCTTTTTATATTTCTTCCAGCCAGGTTCTAAAGGAGTTGTGAGAATTCATAAGGAAATGCCTATGACAAGCTTTAAAATCCTCAGGTGAACTTGCACACAAATGTTTATAGCAATTTTATTCATAATTGCCAAAAGTTGGAAGCAAGCACGATGTCCCTCAGTAGGTAAATGAGTAAATAAACTGTGGTCCATCCAGACAATGAAGTAGTAGTCAGCGCTAAAAAGAAATGATGCATCAAGCCATGATAAGACGTGGAGGAAACTTAGAGGCATATTACTAAGAAGACAATCTGAAAAAGGCTACATGCTATGTGATTCCAACTTTATGGCATTCTGGAAAAGGCAAAACAATGAAGACAGTAAAAAGATCAGTGGTTGCCAGGGACTAGAGGGAGGGAGGATGAATAAATGGAGTACAGAGGATATTTAGGACAGTGAAACTATTCTGTATGATACCATAATGGTGAACACATGTCATTATACATTTGTTCAAACCCATAGAATTTACAGCAGCAAGAGTGAACTCTCATGTAAATTATAGACTTTGGGTGTGTCTTAGCTTGGGCTGCCATAACAAAAATACCATAGACTGGGTGACTTAAACGACAAACATTTATTTCTTACAGTTTGGGAGGCTGGGAAGTCCAAGATAAATGTGTCTGCAGATTAGGTGTCTGGTGAGGGCCTTCTTCCTGCTGTGTCCTCAAAGGTGGAAGGGCTCCTGAGGGAGCTCTGTGGAGTCCCTTTTATAAAGGCTCTGCCCTCATGACCTAATCACCTCCCACCGGCTCCACCTCCCAATACCATTGCACTGGGGATTAAATTTCAACATATAAATTTGGGGGGCAGGGGACACAAACCAGTCCATAGTGATAATGATGTGTCAATGTAGGTTCATCCATTGTCACAAAAGTACTGCTGTGGTGGGGGATGTTGATAGTGGGAGAGGTTGTGGGGGGGAGGGGAACGAGGGTGTATGGGAACCCTGTAACTGCCTCTAAATTTTGCTATGAACCTAAAACTGCTCTAAAGTCTAGTTTTAAAAAGTCCTCAAGTGACCAAATATAAATTTATATATATGATAAAGTTTGAAGCATTTAGGTTAAAGTTCTAGAATATTTTTTCATAAGAGCCAGGCGTTATTTATTCTTTTAAATGCTTAGGCTTTTGGTGGGCACTTCTAACTTGAAAACTGGGTGTGAAAGAGCTAAATGCAATGTCCTTCTCTTCTGGCACCACCTGCTTTCTAAAATAGCCACTGTGTCTCATTACCATCTGGAGGACGTGCCAGGCTGGCCACCTGAGGGACTTCAGCGGTTGGTTAGCAGCCTGGTCTCTGCTCTGAGCACAGCTGACTAACAGTGAGTCCTTTAGACATTTCTGCTGCTAGAGCCAGGTCAATTTGCAAAAAATATTTTCAACAGATCTATTGTGTTTTCCTGAAAGTGAGAAAGGACACCCAACCTCTCTGAGAGATTTCATTTTATAACCTCCTATAATGCTTTGTACTCCTTCTGCAAGCCTGGTAAAAGACATGGCCACTTTCACATAGCACTAAGGCCCGTTTATGTTTTTATGTATTAATGCTATGGATACCACCTAGGCATACAGAGTAGTGACCAGGAGCCACAGATTTGCAATTAAGCACATCCGGCTTTGCCCCTTCTCTGCTGGATGACTTTGGGTAAGGTTCTTAAACATCTTGAGTCTGTTTCCTTCTCTCTAGAATGCCAGTCACATTTGCCACCTAAGGTTGTTGTGGAGATTATATTTAGATATGACCACTCAGGTACTTAGCCCAGGGCCTGACAGATAAGTAGCATTGTTTATTACTGTCATTATGTTCTATCTGATTAAAACAAATGGCATAGGATCAGTTCTGTGAAATCTTAAGTCGCTAGAACACACAGAAACTCATTTTTCATATCTGTAAAGTGGGTATTAAAATGCTTGTCTATTTCGCAAGTTTGTTGTGAGGATTGTAGGAAGTACTGGATACATAATTTTGAAAAGTAGCTACCATTTCTTGAGTGCTTATTATGTACTAGGCACGTTGCTAAGGGTATGCAATCACTCATAGGGAATGGTTACTAATGGCTTGGTTCCACCGCCCCGCGCCCCGCCCCAGTTTAGGGGGAAGGGGTTATCTTCCTTATGCACGAAGGCACAGCCAAACTCACCCTCCTCGTTATCTCTCCCGCTAGATCGGAGCCCGGGGAAGTCATGGACTTGATTGTCCATTCAGACTCATCTCTTCCAACAGCCCTTAGATTGCCTCATCCTGTGTGTTGAATGAATGAACGAATGAATTAATAAATGATGCAGACGAGCAAACTTGGGCTGCCACGTTCTTTCAGTATCCAGGAAATCCAAAAGCCACGGTAAAATCTAAGGCGAGCGGGACCAAAGTGCGTCCTCGAGCCGTATAGACTCAACCACTGGCTGGGCTGGGCCTGACCCCAGACCCAGTGAATTCCACTCCAGCAAACTGACATTTTAAACATGTCCCCGGCTGAGTCCGGTCTGCAGGGTCTCAAAGGAGAGGAATCTTGTCTTGAAGGAGCAATCAAGGCTGGGTTCCGGAGGAGGTGGCTTCTGGGAACCAGAAAAAGTGGGGTGTATTGGAATTGACAGTGGGCCCGGACAGGCCAGGGGCTTGTTCATTTCGGTAGCTACAGCGCCAGGCAAACGCCGCTCGGAACACCATCTCAACGCGCGAGTCTCGCGGGCGAATCTCTCTAGCTGGTCCACGGAGCCGCACGCGCATGCGCACCCTCCAGCCCCGTACCTGCACCACCAGGCCTGCGCCGCGATGCCAGCGGCAACAACCCCCTGCGCTCCTCCCACATCCGCCCCCGGCCCGGCGGCCAGTGCGCAGGCGCAGGGGAGAACGCGCGCGCGAGTGACGTCATCAGTTTGCACCGCCCGGACCCGGGAGGTGTCGCGCGCTGACGGCGTCGCCATGGAGTCGAGGGCGGGTGAGAAACCAGTAGGGAGACTGGCTGGCGAGGGGTAGCGGGAGAGACGAGAGGGTTCGCAGTCGCCAGAGAGACTGGCGGGTGAGGGGCAATCGGAGAGACCACCGGGGGCGGGCCGGGGGCGCCAAGAGACCGCAGCGATAGGGCAGAGAGACCACCGGAGAGAAGGGAGTGGTAGTCTGGGGTCCGCGCGGGAGGGTGGGGGAACGTGAAGGGGTGTTCCGCGTCGAACCTGCGGTGGGCTCGGACTCGGATGCCGAAGCCGGTTGGTAGAATAAAGATAATGGGAGAAGAGAAAGGAGGGCTACCAGCTGGCCAAGTGGTGGTGTCCGTGGGCCCCGTACCATTCATCACAACTACCCCCCTGAGATCCGCCCTCCATTTTATCCCCATTTTACGGAAGGGGAAACTGAGGCTCACAGCTGCTGGCAGAGGCAGGACCGGACACCAATTTAACCTTAGCACTGGGGCGTTTAATCACTGTCCTCTTAACAAATGTGAGACCTCGAATTACCAGGCATTGAGGAAGCTTGCCCCAGAGTTTCTGAGATTCGATGATTGATTGTAGGATTGCCTGGCAAAGATCGTATTAGAACTCATGATGCGCCGTGGTCTGTCAAAGCCAGGTTCCACAACCGTGAATAAATCCATTCCTGCCCTTAATACACGTGCAGCATATAAACTGTACAGTAAACAGATGCCGCTAATACAGTGGGATGATAAGACCTTTGGAGATGTCTGTGGAGTGCCAGGACTGAGCTTAGGGCTAGAGGTAGAAGAATGAAACCCAAGCTGACCTGACCTGCAATAACAGAACAGAGTTCAGGCACTTCACACATTAATACATGTCATGTTTTATTATCCTAATCATCTCCTACGTTTTCATAACTTTCCGAGGGCAAGAATCTGCCCTCCTATTCTCTCCCTCCCTGCCCAGTTAGCCCATTGCTTTCTAAATGAGAGTCACTCAGATGTTTGTGATTGACTCTCCAGAACAAGGGTCCCAACTTCTACATTTCTTGTGTCCCACACAGTACCCTGCACAGTGTTGGTGATATTGTAGGACCTATGGGTTGTTAGTGAAAGTGATAAATATAATAGCTTTATGATAGTTATGTAATTATTTCTGTTTGGGGGGAAAAAGCAAACAAACAGGGCGCTCTGCATTCCTAAAGAAAGGACTTTCGTTTGCCACTGAGTGCTCAGAGAATGTTTTCTGGGGGAGGCGGCATCTCAGCTAGTCCTGAAGGGAGAGGGAGGAGAGGAAGTACCAAGGCCTGAAAGAGAGAAAGGTGGGCAGATGTGTGGGGCCGGGGACCAATAGTAGTTGAGCCACTTTTTGAATTCTCAGGAATGACGGGAGATGAGCCCAAGGTAGCCAGCAGAGCTTTGCAGCTCATTTCAGAACTAGTGACAGAGTGATCCTCAGGGCACTGGAGCAGAATGGAGGGGACACTTCCTGGAGGTGATGCCAAAGCTGAGCCTTAAAGAGTGAAGGTTTGTGGGAGAAACAGAACTGAGCAGACTTCAGCAGAGACCAGAGGTGCAGAGTTCCCAGCAGAAAAGACAAGTCAAGTGCTGGAAATCGCCTGTGTGGCTCTTCTCAGGCTGACAGCAGTATAGTCTCAGTGTGCATCTTTAGAGATGAGTTCCCTAAGCACACCTGAGTCTGCATTTTTGATTTCTGGAGTGGTTCAGAAATCACTAGGGTCAAAAGGCACCAGTGGTGTTTGCAGTGGGCTCCAGGAGGCTCGAGCCTGGCTGTGAAAGGCCTTGTATGCACACTGTGCCAAGGGGATCAAGGTCTATCCTGAGGGCCTTTAGCTGTGGCCCTTACACCTTAGAACTACACATTTAACAAATTGATAGGTGGGGATTGTAAAGCATTCATCAGTAACAAAAGGTTGGAAACCACCTATCGCCCATCAGTAGGGGACTACTTGAATAAATTTCGACCTGTCCACATAGCGGAATACTATACAACTGCACAAAAGGATGAGGGTGCTTTTATATACCTTATGGACTGATCTGCAAGACAAAGTAAAAACGACAAAATACAGAGCAGTGTGTGTAGCCATATGGATAGTGCACTACCTCAGGCAGAGGAAATGAGGACGAGATTAGAAGTGTCTCTGTGTGAAGCCTGAGATATCTGGGGAAAAATTTATAAGAAGACACAGGTGCACTGATCGTCTTGGGGGAAGGGACCTGGTACCTGGCAGACAGTAAGGAGAGAGACTTTTCATTATAGATCCTTTCATATGTTTTAAAAATTCATTTACGAGAAGTTAAGCTTTAGGATGTAATTTATCCACATGATTCAAAACCACAGTTTAGAAAAATGAGACCAGCTGCCAGCTTCATCCCACCAGCCATGCAGGTGACTCCAAGCTCTCTCTGGCCTTTGTGTCACTTTTGAGCAGCTTCCACTCATTTAAGGGAGACTGAGGACTTGAGAGGTTAAACCTGCCCTTCCTTCCTGCCAGGGTGATGAGAGGTACCCCACCCACACACACACTGTGTAGGACCTCATGTTCACAGTCTGGGTCTGTATAGTTATGTTGAATACCATCAAAGTTCTCTGAAAGCAGCCAACTTTTCATGCTAGTGTCAGAGATGCAAGTCTGTGTGTACATGTTCCTCTGGAGGCTTTCAGAAGGCTTAGGGTAGATAGATAGCACTTTTCTTCACTGGGAGTTATATCTAGGTACTGAATCTGCTTCTGGGTTAGCAGCGAAAGTATACCAGGGAATGAGATTACCACATATGAAATTCCTCGCTTCATAATTCACAATGCTGGCCACATAATACATCGTTTTGAAAATAAACCAAATAGTAGATATCAAAGTGATTTGAAACAAACTTCTGTACAAGGATATACTTTTGGACTAACAAAAGCAAAAATTTAGTGAACATTTTAAAATGTGTCTATGAATGCGCTCGTTTTGTTTTTTCTATTTTAATTGGAAACTGCTTTTTATATTTCTCCACTCCACGGGGAGCACATAGTTAATGCAGATTTCAGTAGGACCGTCCCAATCAAACACTTCAAGTATATTTGTTGCCTAAAGTTGCATTTCCAATGTTGGGTACAGATAGAAGATTCCCACACTAACAAAAGGGCTGTAGTTGGTAATTCAAAATAATAGCTAGCTTACAAATCACTTAGGATTAGGGCAAGCGTACTGGATTTACAGCAAGAGTAAACTAATAACAGCTATCTCAACACTAAATAGACAGTTAAATGACATTGCCTTGACAGCAGAATTCACATCTCTAAGTGAGAACTCTAAGAATGCTAGGTTATATGGTTTTGGTTGCATTTTGTTGTGCTAGAACTGGGTCAAACACGGATTATGTTGAATTTACTCTATTTTTGGACTCCAGCAATTTGTTGTGAGTATAAAACTTATCGCTAACCCTGATTTTATGATGTAGGGATCAGAAGCTCTAGATCCTAGTTCGGCCTGATAGAGACTGGAGGGTACAGCTGGAACAGGCGTGCAGTAGGACCCAGGATGCCTGTGCTGTGGAATTCCTTTCTGCTGTATTAATCAGTCACACCCTTTGTTGTGATAGCTATTTCCAAACAGGACATTCGTGAGCAGATTTGGGACTACATGGAATCACAAAATTTAGCTGACTTTCCCCGGCCTGTTCATCACAGGATTCCCAACTTCAAGGTACTGGGATATTCAAAAAGAAAGCACGATATTCCTAAATGAATGACATTAGTAATACAGTTACCATTCTGCTTCATCTGGTGGATTCAAATTTGGTGAATAGTGAGCGGTGGTGTGAAGTCCGAACCACCAGGCCACAGTGTTTTTGTGTTTTGAGACACCTCTCATCATGTTACTTAACCATCACTCTCAGGGCCTCTTGCTTTTCTGTGCAGGGTGGGTTGGTTGGTTGTGTCTTGCCATGAAGTGGTTACTCAGTCTGTTGTTTATCATTTGATGCAAAGTGAAATGTTTATCCTGGCTGTAAGCATGTTATTGTTGTGGTGCCTTTTCATAAAACTAGTTCCCTAAGGATAGTAAGGGTGATGCGCTCTGAGAGGGAGCCCCACCGCTAGCACCTTTGGAAAAAGGATGGTCTCACCAGCCCTGATGACTCTGGGCCTCAGTTTCCTAACTGTTCAGAATAGAGGATAATCAAAGATGTCTGTTTATGATGGTATTAATAGAAAAAAGTTTGCTTGAAAGAGGCAGCATACACAGCTCATAATCTCTAGCATCCATGTTTTCCGAGAGAAAGAAAGTGATTTTTGAAAATATACTGATTGTTCTTTCAGGCCCAAAGGATGTGGCCCGTTTGCTTGCCATCACCCCTGCCCCACCCCTCGTTTTGGCTGGGCTTTCTCTCCCCAGCCTGGCTTCTAAGAAGCATGCCCCAGCCCCTTATGGTCCTCAGCTGAGCTGGTTCCAAAGCCATCCTGTCCTTTCGAAAAACAGTTCTTTTAGATGGTTTTTGTTGCTACTCTGTTTTGTTTTAGTGCTTGTTACTCCAGAAAGAGAAGTATACATGGAGTACAGGGAAAAGATGAAAGATGAACAGAATCAGTAGTAATCTTTAAAAGGGAATCAACTAGGAGAGGGATGGGGGTTCTGGGTTAGTGCTCTAACCTTGATTTATATGCTGTTTTGATTTAGGTGGTGGTCGCACAAGTGTGTTCATTTTGTGAAACTTAATCAACCTATGCACTCATGATTTGTACACTTTCTGGAGTGTATGTTTTATTTCAGTAATAAATTGGGGCTAGACCAGCTTTCTCAGCCCCTTTTCCCTGACCGCTTTTTTTAGATGTTTCTTTGGGTGATTGTTAAATCTTGTTTCAGAATTAGCACTAATGCCTATCTGGGTGGGCTGCTGGAGCGAACTGCTCAGGCTGCAGTTGTCCTCTCAGTAACATGCTATTGCGTTTAAAAACAGGGTGCTCCTCATGCCGCTGAGCATTTCCCACGCTTGCAGGCGTTCAAAGTGGCCAGAACCATTAAAGTCAACCCTGATGCTCCCCAGAAAAATGCTCGCTTCTTCGTCCTCGATGTAAGTGCAACTCTGTCTGTTTGCCTAACCAGGGCTCTTATCTGGCTTGCCAAAACATCAAAGACCTAGAGGTTTTTGCCAGAACGCGGGAAGTTAAAGTGGATCCCGATAAACCACTGGAAGGTGTTCGGCTGTTGGCACTGCAGGTAATCCCATTTCCTGAGCCAGAGCCTTGCCTCTGACAGGAAGGCAGTCTCCAGGTAGCTGGTAAATGTGTGCAATACTGTATTTGGGAGGATGTGCTTCTGACTCATTCCCCTGTAGAACATGCCCTGGAGTTGTTTTTTCCAGGAACAGTCCAGAAGTCTTTTGGCTGTTTAGCAGTCAATCAGAAATCCTGAGTGTTTCTAAATTCAAAGAAAGATAAAGGACATTAAAAACAATGACAGTGAAGCATTCTCAATTCTGATGTTCTTCATTAGCAGAGAAAGATGACAATATGTTTATTTCCTTGTGCCTCATTTGTAATATTACAATTCTTTGAAAGTTGATAACCAGTGAGTAAGATATCTGATAAATGAGTTCCTAAAATATTTAAATTTGAATGGTGTTTCTTAAATACGTATGCCCCTTTTCAAGAAAAAAAATTTCCACACGGTTGGCTTTAAATAATTTATTATAATTAAATATGTATAATCACAAAACTTGATATAAATTTTAATGCTTGTAGCTCTTACAGTACTATAAAACCAAAAGAAGCATATAAATTAAATACAAACAAAACTATAAAAGTAATACTATGCAAAGAACAGCACTAAATTTATGTAATTGGTGATGCTCTTTTTTTGAATATGGTCCTGAATGTTAGCAGGATCTTTGGGATTCTGCCTTATGCTGCCATGCCTCATGTGGTGACCCGGTTCTCCCACAGCTCCTGAGAAGCCTCGGTTATGCAGGGCACCTTTCATCCTTTCTGGTGAAGTGACTACCAGAAAGGAATTTTACAGAGAACAGAGGGGGCTTTAGGAATTCTGCTCTGGTTCTTTCAACTCTCTCATTTAGGAGAGCTTCTGTCTTCTGTTTGCGGTTCAACCCTAAGAGGGGCCTCCAGTTTAGACTCTTCCAGAAGCATTCTTTTGTATCAACCTTATTTCCCCAGTCATTAAATCACTTTAATGAACTAGAGGTAATAATCGAAGCAGCAGCAATGAAGGACCCACAGTGGGCAGTTATTGCACAGTGTGACCAGAGTCAGCTCTCTGCATGTGAGGTTCAGGGTGGTCTTACCTGTCATCCTCTCAGAGCACAAAATCAAAGACCTTGAATGTGTTGGAGATTTTACACTTTGCCAAGGCAGCCTGTGAGGGGAATGTAGCCAGGCGACAGGAAGGAATAACAGTCCTCATTGTCACTTCATGTATTCAGGGGAAATAAACAGCGGAGCTATATTCCAGGCTCTGGGCCAGGCACAGGGACATAGTGGCGAAAAAGATACAATGACACATATGATCCCTATGCTCTAGGGCTACAGACTCATCAGTGGTTTCTGAAAACTTTAGTGGGTTAAGAATCATGTAGGAAGCAGATAAAACTGCAGGTTCCTCAGTTCCACCTGAGTGCAGGCAGGGATGGTGATAAACACGGCCACAGACCATACCTGGGGACCCAGTGGCCTGTGCTTGGGGATGCACAGCTTCCTAGGCCTTGACTCGATTTCTGGAGTCTGTTTAATAAACACCTGATGGTGATTGATAACCACTGGCCCAGGCAGCGTTTGGCAGCCCTAGCTGCACGTTAGTATCCTCCAGGGAGCTTTGAAGACGATCTGTTGCCAATATCAGGTTCTGAATCAGAGCCTCTGAGTGGGTCTGGACCTTGGTAAGTCTGAAAGCTCCCTAAGTGATGCTGACATACAACTAGGGTTGAGATCCGCTGAGCTAGAGGTTGAGCAGCTTCTGGAAAACAGGGAGTAACCGAATTAGTCTGCAGTATGCCAGAGTCATCTGGAGACTGCAAATGAAATGAACCCAAAACTCTTTAACACTCAAAAGGAAAATAGTATGTGGTTTTTACCTGTGTTGAAATACTCCTCCTTTGTGGTTAAAAAACCTTTATTTAAGTAAGCCAAACTGATTTTATAGGTCTTTTATTGGTCTCAGGCTGCCATTTCCTGCATAAAAACTAAAACATTTTTCACACAAAATGTTTTATAAATTTTATGATTGCCTTATGGCCTGCCCCTTCATGATCTGCAAAGGGACTCTTGGGCAGTGGTTCTCCTGATGGACCTGGTGGGCTTGTTAAAGCAGATTGCTGGGCCTGCCCCCAGGGCTCTGATCATTTCTAACAAGTGCCCAGGAGTTGCTGTGGCCACTGCCCAGGGCCCCCACTTTGAGAAGCCCTGTGTCCTCTGGCACTCAAAATCTGAGAACTAAATAGAAGAAAAGGCTGTTGACACAGGTCAGTATAAAATATTGATTATAACGAGTGCTGATCTCTTAGACTGTGATTTATTGAATAGCAAACTAGATATAAATGCTTAATGGAATATTTTTAATGTAGCTATGCTACGCCAGTTTCAAATTAAAACACCATATAGGGGGCACAGGAAAGTTAATGGTTGGAAGTTTTATGAGAACAGAACTTTGGATTTGTGTTGTAATTTTTTACCTGTAATGATTTTCAGTGGCAAGTAAAGTAGAATTAGTGAGTTTAATGAATACCCTGCCTCTTTCATCCTAAGGCCGGGCAGAGTAGTGGCTCTGAGTAAATTGCATTATTTACTTGTTTGCAAACTAGTAACTTTGTTGGCACACACCGAAAGTGAAGACAGTAGTAACTTGCTTCTGTTCCCGAAAAGTTAGCGTACGCAAGAAAATTCCTGTTTTATTTTGTAATTCATTGTCTTTTTTTTAAAAGAGCAAAAAAACATTGCTGGTTCCAACACCACGACTGAGAACAGGGTTATTTAATAGGATCACACCGCCGCCTGGGGCAACTAAAGACATGCTGAGAAAATGTGCCACCTCTGAGGTAAGTACGAGAAGCAAGTCACCAAGGAAAGAACTGTTCTTGGCTGCAGCTTCTGGTGAGTTAGAATTCTGTAAAATATACCACAAAGTTTGAAATTTATTTTTAACAAAATCAAATGAACAGAGATGATAGAGTATTTAGCAATTTTGTCATTAAGAGAGCCAACTAGAAAAACTGTGACTACATGGATTCCATTTTTGTTACTTAGTTTTTATTTTGCACTAAGCTGGCAAATTATAAATTCTCTGGTAAAAAAGAAAAGGGAAAACAAGTTATCTGGTACTCTGCCGCCCTCTAGTGTTAATATGTGACATTTAGTGCTCAGCATTTTTTCAGATGCCTCCAGGGCAATAAGGGACATGGTAGAATTTCCAAAATATGTTCAATTGGAACTTGCTTCACCAGTTCTAAATTAATGACTGCTGTCGGCTCACCGAGGCTGCCACACACTGAGCCCATTAAAACAGAGTTAGAGACAAGGGCCTGGACATGAGATGCCTGCCTCCGTGTCCACTGAGATTGAGAAAAGATAGGCTTTCCCACAGTAGGTGCACCATTGGCTGATGACTGGTTTGACGGGAGGCCCCAAACTAATCCCATGTACTGATCCTGTAAGCAACTTGTCATACTTGTAGACAGGGATCAATACCACACCCAGTGATCCACTTCTGATGGATACTGCTCCGTAGTGTCCCAGTCTGGTTTCTTAGATTTACCTTTAGCCCTCATCAGAATCGTGACCATATCAGCCTCCCCATTTGTTAAATACAGGCCTCCATTTGTTAGTATATGTGGGTGCATTTTGCTGGCATAAGTAATATTTCAGAAGTGAGTATGCTGTACATGAAAATAATACCCTCTAGCATTTCATACTTAGTTATTATATCACATACATTTACTGATCATGTCTTAGGTGCAAAATGCTTTACCTCCGTGATCTCATTTCATTTTAACACCAGTCTGATGAGGATGGTGTCCCTGTCTTGAATGAAGAAATTGAAGCTCAGAGAGCTTCCTTCTGCTGAGGTCAAAGGGCAGAGACATCTGGACCCAGTTCTGTGTGACTCCTCTGAGCCTCTTCTGCATCATGGAAAAAATGATTTGCTAAATATTATGAAATTAATATTCTATCCATTTTTGCTGTCAGTTCTTCCTGGTGTCTTTCCTGGGAAAGAAATAGAGGGAAATTTTCCTAAAATGGTTTCCGAGCCCTGGTTTTCCTGAAATGCCATTTCTGTAATGCCTCGCGTTTGTTGTAGCCCTGTGTACGTATTTGCTTCTTGTAGGAGATTCTTCAGAACCTGAGTGCTCCTTGCCTGCTCATTATGAGGTGAGGCAGCCACTCGCTGCTGGGAGAGATTTTAAGTCCGCATCTGTGTCCACAGGGTGTGAAGAACTATAGCGTTCCCGTGGGCTTGGATTCCAGGGTCCTTGTGGACTTAGTCGTGGTGGGGTCCGTTGCCGTTTCTGAAAAAGGTAAGATTAAAAACAGGAACTCTCGGACGAGACCCCTTACCCTGCAGCTTACTGTTCCACCAGCTCTCTGTTCATCTTTTAGATGTTGACGGTAAGTGATTTCAGCTTCTTGGGCGCACGCCTGGAGAGTTAACTCCGTCCCTCCCATTCCTGGCCCTACTCAACACCTTTATAGTATTTTCAGTCTTCTCAATGGGAAAAATAAAGTGAGATAATCTGTCTTCAGGTGGTGAAAGATTGTTTCTCTGTTCTTAAGTTAACCGGAACTGGAGCTGAATTTATTTGCAGAATGTCAGTAAATAGTTGGTTTTGGAGAGCCTCCAGTGTATGAAAAAACATTAGGTTCTAAACCTTGTTTTTGTTATGAAGCAGCAGCTCCTAGACAACATGCAGTGCCCCAAGCCTGCCTCCGAGGCCCGGTGCTTTGGCATGCAGGCAGGTGAGCAGCACTTGGCCCCTGTGGTTCCTGAAGTACCCGTGGTACTTCTTCCCCCTCTGCACTGCTCTTCCCCAGATGAAGTTTGATGCTCTTTGAACACAATCTGCTTATTCTTCAGTGGGATCAGTGGTTCCAGATGGGATCAGCCCATTGCAGACCTACGTTTGTACTGTGAAATTTGGGGCCCTCTTTAAAGAGAAAAAGAGAGACTATCCTAGGATGCTCATCCCCACATCTCTCTCTTTGAAAATTATTCAGTTAACCCTAAGTTCTTTTTTCAGGAGAGGTACCCAGTAAATAGTTGGTAAGAGATGATTCTAAATCATTCGTTGGTAAGAGATGATCTAAATCATTCGTTTCAAACCTCGAGCATTGTGTTTTTAAATGCTGGCCATTAATATCTTAACCTTCCGTTTACTTTCTTTTCCCAACTCTCACTCTAAGGTGGTATGTGAGATGTAGTTCTTCATTCTTTGCACATGAACACACGACTCCGCACATCTGCTGTGGGCCAGGGGCCAGGCTGGCGCAGTGGTCTCTGCCTTGGGCCCACAGCGAGTGGGAGGAGCAGACACAATAGCTGAACTGCAGTGAGATGTGCTTGGTGTTAGAAGTGGAGGTTAAGGTAGACGTCGTGGGGTCAAAGGAGGGACCTATGAGCCTCAAGCAGGGCATCACCTCAGAAGTGACTTCAGGGCTAGCTCTTGCATGCTAAGTGTTTTCGAGGCAGGTGGAGCAGAAGAGGGTGGAGTGGTGTGTTTGCGTAGCAGGGCCTTCTGGTGATTGGGGCCAGCTTTCCTGAGGCCCTGAGGCCACGTGACTGGGATTTGGGCTATACTCTTCTGGCAATGGGAAATTAGCAAAGATTTCTTCTTTCAAAAGATCATCAGGAGTTTTCTCTTTGGGCTCGTGATGTATGAAGAAAAACACAGTGTTTTGTAAATGTCACCATCCAGATAACCTCCTGATTAAAACAAAATCACCATGCATATGTTTGGAAACTTTGGATGGCACAGAAAGTGTCACCTCTGCACTTTCCTTCCTCCTTTCCCCAAACACCCACTGTCAGCTGTTCCTTGTGTTGGTACACATAAACACCAGCACCATGTGAGACACAGGTACTGCATGCATTCTGTGTGTGTGTGGGCAGGGGGAGGTTGTATATTCATCCTGTGTCTGTTTTCACAGCAGGGACAGCAGCACTTACAAAGCTCTGTGCCCCGCCAGGTGATGTATCTCCATGGTCTTTGCCCATCATCGCAGATGGCTCGGCCTCCTTTTGTAGAATAGGCCTGACTGAGGGGCATTTAAGTTATCTCCAGGGTTTGGTTTGGTTTTTCCCTTAGCAATAATGCTAGAATGAGATGTTGTCTCATCATGCAGTCTGGGTGTGTCTTTGGGGATTCTCCATGGGATAATTCCTAGGAAAGGAATTGCAAACCACAAGGTGGAGTTTAAATCCTGATGGATGTTGCCAAATTACCCACAGAAAGGTTGCCCACCTCACATCCCCAGCCTTGCCTCTCTCTCCACATCCTTGTTATCCTTGTTGATAACTAGAATCATCCAACTTTAATTTTTTTACCTGTCTGATAGTGAAGACTGGTATTTCGTTAGCCTTTCGATTTGCATTTAGTTATGAGTGAAGTTGAACATTTCTCATACATTTGCTGCTTATCTGCCTGACTCTTCATATCCTTTGCTATTTTTCTGTTGAATTGTCTTTCTCTCTTCTGTTTGCATGCATGACTGGAGGCTTTTAATTTTAAAAGTAGCATGATTATATGTGCTTCTTCGAAGGACACAGGAGCAATGAAGCTCAAACTCTGGGTGCTGATGCTGATGCTGATGTTGATGTTAAATGGGAGTCAGACGGTTTGCCCTGTCACGGCTTCCTGCCGAGGGGGATGTTTAGACTCATTTGGGAGCCAGAAGGCATTTTATTGTTTGCTGTCTCCTTGCATTCTTTTTTCTTGCTCAGCTTCAGATAATTCCTTTGTTGTGTTGCCATTTACAAATTTGCAAAAAAAGTGCTAATACTGCTTAAACCACTTCTCCTTTAGGAACTGTAGAATTGTATTGGGTAGCTATTTAGTGCTTTTTACAAGATAAGGCTCTGCCATCTTAAATCACATATCCTTGTCATTAGAGTTTTTATTTTTCCTTTAAGAAACTTTGATGCAAAAGATATTGCCTTTAGTTGGAAGTTGTTCTTAGTCTTTTTAAAAACTACTCTTTTATTACTTTTAAGTGTAGGCCTGCTAACATAAAGTGCACATAAAGGCAAGCTGAGTTTCCTTTTGTTGTATGTTTAAAAGGTTTGAAGTTTACTTCATTGTGTGTTAACCACTATACATATTCAGTATTGTTGTTCTCTTTGGCTCTTGTAAGTCCATTTTTGGAGGGCTGCCTGTGAGGTTACTATGGAAATTTCTATGGAAGGGCCAGGGATATTGGGTCCAAGTTTGTCCTTTTCTTGTGACATAATGAAAAATTTACTCCTGATGACTGCACAGACCCTACAGAGATATTGATTCTCTGCATTGTCTCTTAGGCTGGAGACTTGGGAAGGGAGAAGGTTATGCTGATCTTGAATATGCCATGATGGTTTCGATGGGAGCAGTCAGCCAGGAGACGCCAGTGGTTACCATTGTCCATGACTGCCAGGTGCTTCCTGTGGCCAAGCAGAGCCACTCCTGAGAAAATGAGGGGGAGGGAGGGAAAGATGGAGAGGGAGAGATAGGAGGGTGGGGAGAGAAAGAGACAGAGGTGAGGCTCTGCCTTCGCTCCATGCCGCATCATGAGCGGTGTTAATCAGCTGGGGCTGGATTCGTTCAGTGGCACGGCAGCTGGGCCTCCCACAGTGGGTTTAGGGGAGCATCGTCCTCCCACTGAGCAGTGCAGTGAACATGACTGGGGTCGTATTCCCCATCAGCTCCTTTTCCCACTTCTGTTCAACCAGGTCATCGACATACCTGAAGCGCTCCTGGAGGATCATGACCTCACAGTGGACTATATTCTCACTCCAACGAGAGTCATCGCCACGGGGTGTGAGCGCCCAAAGCCAACAGGAATCACATGGTCCAAGGTGGGTCACCATGTGGCATCAAGGGCAGCCACAGTATGCTATAGCCAGCTCTGGGCTGCAGCTGAGAGGCATCTCCTCTTACTGGTTGGCTGTCCCCAGACCTGGTGTGCTGGTACGTTAGAGTTACCATGAGCGTTCGAACAGTTCAGCTCCTGCATGTCTCTCTCCAGGCTTGGGCCTGTGAACCTACTTTGCAAAGCTGTGGGATTCTGATAAGCAGCCAGGTTTAAGATCTCCTGCTACAAGACACCCAGCTGCAGACATTGGAAATGACCAAATTTCCTAGGAGGGCAGATGCTTTGAATCTGTTCGCCACCTGGTTTATAACATCATACTTAAGAAATACTATAATTGGAAAGCCAATGGACGCTTCAAGGCGTGAATGACATCTATGGAAGACAACACATTTTCTGGCTTCGTGCTCTTCTCCCGAGCGTGCTTATCTGCAGAATTATTTCACCTTGGGCATTTGGAGGAACCTCAGAGCATTTTCATCAGTGAATAAGCTTTAGTCTCAAGCAAGAGAACTAATTTTGGTAGAAGTTGTGTTTTACATCAGAAATACTTCTCGTATTTCCGTGTGTCTCTGTCAGCAACTGCTCAAACACACCCTAGCATTTCAGAACGAGAGGGATTTTCAAGATCACCCATCCCAGTCTCCTTATCTCTAGTCAAGCAAAGTGCAAGCCAGAAAGAAAGCAACTTAGCCAAAATTGTAAAACCAGTGTGTGGCCGAGGTGAGGTTGGAACCCGAGTCTCTTCTTTTTGGGTTGGCAGCAGACACTTTGAGAGTCAGATTTCTGATTTGTATTGGACTTAGCCTGTATACCTGGGGGACGGGTATTTTAATTTAATCATTAAAGAGAATATATATTTATAAGTGACTGACATCTGTATGCTTCATTGAAGTGTGATTGTAGCATATAAAAGAAAATCGAATTTGCTTTATACTATTTTTTTAGTTGCAGAAAGGCAGAATATTTTTTTATATTTTATAAACAAGCAGAATTTTTTGTTTCACATGGCAAGTTGATGAAATATAACAAATGTTCCTAATAGCCAGCCAGAAAAAACAGTAGCCCTGCTGTGGACCTGTCCCGAGTGTGATGTACAGCCCATCCAGTTGGCTCACAGAGGCCTTTCTGTCATCTGTGGGATGGCAGTCAACCCAAGCCGCTCCACAAAGAGTACAGGAATGGCAAACAGCTGGCAAAAGCCACCTCATAGTCAGGGAGATCTTTCCACTTAGAACTTGTGGGGGCGTATGGAAGAGTGCACTGACGTTAGCTCTGTCATTCCTCACTCAATAAGCATATTGCTCTTGAAACAAGCAATTTTATGGAAAAGCCATGCATTTGTGCATTTCCATGTTGAAAGATCCCTTTGCATGTGCCACTGTGGCAGTGCTGTAGATTTTCAGGTAGTTTATAATGTGTGGTTATTCTTCAGGTGATTACAGTTTGTATGCGTGCCAGCCCTGTGATGTGTGCAGAAGGACGTATTTTTGCTTCATATGATGTGTTAAAATGGATTTCTTCTGCCTGCGTGTGGAGCCTTACCACGTGGGTCAGGTTTCCTGAGAACACTTATTTCTGCATGAGGGAGCTCTGTGGTTCTAGTGAGCAAAAGCACACGGGAGTTATAGCACTTCATGGTGGTCATCTGGCAGAGACAGCTCTGGAGTAAGCACCAGCAGAAGTGTGGTATTTACCAGGAGGCGAGGCTGCCAGTGCCCACTGCTGCTTCTTGGAGTGAAATAACATTTAGTTCTTCCACATAATTATAGTCAAACTTTTTTTCTGATTGTAATTGTAGTTTTTAATTTGATCATCTTTTCTAAATAGAAGATCTAATAACTTAAGAGATCTTTAAGAATCTAATTATAACCAGTTTAAATTGGTTTTTAAATATTGCAAAGAACACAAGAACCTGAATTCTTTAAGAAGGTGGATTGGGGACAGGGGAAGGAGTTGGATTGGCTGGATTTAGACCATCTTTGGGATCTTTTGGGGCCCAGAGCCTCTATGGTACTGGTCTGTGAGTTTAGTCACCTTTGAATGAATCAATTCAAAAGAATTGCAGAGGAACAAGTGGCAAAATATTCCCTTTGATTGGAAAAGAGTAGTCACATCTCGTAGATATTTCCAGGGCATAGACATGATTTTTGTTTCTTTTTTCTTTGTGTCTGAACAATGGGCAATATTACAAGGAGCAAGTCCTTCTCTGCCCAATCTTTCTATTGAAGCTGAGCGTCTGAAGACCAGAATGGATGAGTGCCACCCGCAGAGGCTTCTGACATGGCCATGCGAGGGGACATAGGCAGTGTCCAGTTGGAGAGGGCTCTGACCCACAGAAAAGGCTTTGCTGAGGTGGAAAGTATTACGTACTTTGCATTGAGAGAGAGAACCAGGTACTAAATTAATGAGGATTAAGAGCCTTTAGGTTTGTGAGAGGGCACTTGACTGTTCTTAGGTGTTTGTGTTTCTTTAAATCTTACTCTAATTCACTGATTTTTTAACGTGGGCCTGATGTGCTTCTTGTGGTTTAGAAGTCCATGAAGAGACATTGGGAAATCGTACACAGAATCTTTGGGGAGTCCTGGGGAGGGAACTCCAGGTTCTCTTGAATGTCACTGACACTCTGCCACGGATAAGAACCATGCTCTAAGTTACATATGATTCTGAATATAACGAGAAAATAGATACTAGTCAAATTATTTTTGTAGAAAAATTGTACTTACCTCATGTGCTGATCTGTACCCTGATGTACCCACATCTGTGAGAAGCCCCGTGTCTGGACCATTGCGCTTCTCTCTGTAACTGTGATCATTTACAAGCTTTGTGCCCAAGGAAAGAAAGCATGGTTAAAGAGTGAGGATCGCCCAAAAGGACTAAAGAGTGTTTTTGGTTCCTCTTCTGCCTCTCAGTTCCTCTGACACTATGAGACTAATTCTGCCCTGGGCTCAGTTGTCCAGGCTCAGCCTGACCCAACAGGCAGCCCCAGTGTCGCTGCCCCGCCAGGACGGAGCCAGCAGTCTCCACACTGCAGGCTGCATCCAGCCCGTTCTATCCCGTTCAGGCAGGCTCTGGGGTTGAGCCTCATTTAATAGGGCTCCTACCACCTCCTACACCTTTGTTGGCAGGTGTCAGGAAATATTTGTTGATTGATTAGGCCAAAAAGCTGAATATGTCCTTTGTACAGAAGTCCTGTTCGTTGGGAATTAATATTTTGTGTAGTTTGTATTTTAGGCTCATTGCTAGAACTGTTTCAAAGGTGGCATTCCATTTCACATTCGCCTTGTTTCCATAGTTTCAGTGACACGTTGAAAGGGTTGGTCTCTGAGAAATATTCCTTCAGTGGAGGAGTGGAGAGGAGGAGGAGGAGAGCTGTGGCTTATTAAAGACCCCATTCCTCCCAAGAGCATAGATTGGGGCGGGGACAGGTATGGAGGCAGAAACCCTCCATTATCCTGGAATGCCACCAGGGGAGTTGCCATTTGTGACCCTTTAACCCTCATACTAATGATCTTAGCTGCTACCCCTCTGTATAAGAGGCCTTCGTTTTTCTGCTTTCTGGGCCTCTGGGAAAATAGAGAAAGCTCTCTGTTCTTGACAGCTGCCATGGTATGTCTTAAGCCAGGAGATGTCAAGCTACTGATTAAGATAGTGGGTGACCCACATCACAGATGACCAGGTGGGACCATTCTCATCTAACCCATTGGTGTACCTGTCAGATAGAGACGGCTGCCGAGAGCACATGTGGCAGAGGCCTCTGTGGGACTTTGATGTCTCCTCTGTCATGACTAAGTTGCAGTCCGTTTTGGACACCCCAAGAATAGCTGGAACTGCCTTACTTTTTCAGATCAGCTGTGAGGTGATGGGGAAAATCCCAGTACTCAGAAGCCTTCGCTACCGAGAGAAGCAGATGGGGAAGGATGTCACCCTTCAGGATGAGCACCGGCGTCTTCTGGAAACCTGCAGCCAGCAGACAGCTCCCCCGAGAGCTGTCAGAAGACCCTGGAACCCATCCCAGCTGGAGCCAAGTTCCGTGCAGGGGGAGGATGTGCCTTCTAACACTGTTTATGTTGGGAATCTCCCCTGGGATACCCGAGTGAGTGAGCTGAAGCGAGCCCTCAGAGAACGCGGCACAGCCCCACTGCGGCTGACCTGGCAGGGCCCACAGCACCGGGCCTTCCTCCATTACCGGGACCCGGCCTCAGCCCAGCAGGCCATCTCCTGCTTGCAGGGCTTGCAGCTGGGCACCAGCACCTTGAAGGTGGCACTGGCCAGGCAGCAGAGGGCCAGCGACCTGGCAGGTGGCGGTGCTAGAGAGCCACATCCTGACCGTTACACGACCATCTGACCTGGGATAACATCCCACCCCGGTTCCTGTGGAGCTCCAGATGCCTGCATAACAGGGCATGGCAAAGCTATCCCTGCATGAGCTGCTTCGACAAAGTGCTGTTCTTTCTAGGAAGTCACAGCCTTCACTTACTGCCCGGTGATCTGACGAGTAAGGAAATTAGCCAGTAGTACACTGAGGCGGCTGAAAACTCGATGTGTTCAGTTATGGTTTATCATGGTCCTTTAACCTGTTGGATGTTATAGCTGTGCTGCTTTCTCTGTAGAGACAGCTGTTCTGAGGGTTTAGGGGACTAAGTGAACAATAAACAAGTGACTAAATGGTGACAGTGATTTAGGAGAATCTGAGTCTGGATTTGAGGGGAGTGGAAGATTAAGAGACAATGAGCAGAGGATCCTGCCAGGAGAGGCCCTGGCAGGGACCAAATGCAGGAGCACAGTGGGCAAGACAGAAAGTGCCCTCATGCCCCAGGATCCTTGGCCTAGCACTGCTGGACAGGGACAACTGTATCTGAGTCGCAGAAGCTGAGTAGTTCAGCCTCCTGGATTCAAAACACTTGTCTCAACTCAGTCCTGGTGTCAGAGATGGAAAGCGGATCCAACATGGACACTTGGTTGAGTGGTGTCACCTCTGTTCCCTCCTTTCTAGCTTTACTCCTCCCTGTGGGCGAACACCCCTTCACTCTCTGCTCTTGACCAGCGGCCCCTGCACACAGCAGGAAGCACTGCCTTGTAGGTGATACTGGCTTTGGAAAGTGCGTCATCCAGGCCTACATCACAGAGTCCTGCAAACGTGCACACACTCGCATTTGCCCAATGCCTTAGGTTTTTCGTGTTTTTTTCCCTCCAGTTTCTTGTTCCTAAAATCAGGCTGGATTTTGGCCTAACTATACTTTCTGAACAGAAGCGCTGTTGCAGTTGATCCTGGGCAAAAAGTCAAAATAAGCATTTAAGTGGAGATTTTGTTTTTTCAAATGTACATGTGTTTAAAATTTTATTTTTTCACTAGAGGGTTTTACTGAGGGCAGGCCTTATACATGAACTTGCAAAAACTCTTCTCAAGGCACTTAGTCTCCCTTTAAAAAAAAGCATTTTCTCATTAGTTTTACAATGAAAATACTATGGAAACTTCAGAAAGAAAATCTATCCTGTTGACCTTAAATAGATATATCTGCAGCAAACTGGATTTGTTCGGGAACAACAAAGAATTGCAATTCGGGACATATGGCCTAATGCTGAACCATGTGGAAGTCCTGAGACCCACAGGACAGGAATGCTCTTTTATGGACTTGGGAGGGGCCGCTGTAAAGGAAGAGTCCATTGGCGGAAACTGGAAGTTCGAAGTGTGGTGACTTTTCATTGGCTGAGGTATGGGGGTCTCCCATTGACTGAGCGGTTACTGGGCAAGGAGAAATCTTTTCTTCTTGCTGAGGCAGTAAAGTAGACTCACGAGGCCCTGTCAGGGATGCGGGGTACCTCTCTTCCTGTTGGGGTCAGTAGTGTGTGTTGAGTGACACCCACGTGAGAGTTCTCTCTTCTAGCCTCCCGACTCTACTTTAAATGAGGTTTCTGTTTATTAATTTCACCATCCTTAGATTTGCGCATTAAATGAAGACTCCTTTTCCAAGTTGTCATGAATAAAATGAGGATGGAGAAATACCTTAAAATGGGCCAGGACCTTGCCTTGGGACCTCGGGGCCTCCTCTTTCTCAGCCTGAACTGTCCACCCTAGTCTGCCCGGCTAGTTTCATTTTGTCACTAGGTATT